CGGTATACTGGGCCGCCGTCATGGAATGCCCAGCTGCTGCAGTTCTCAGTCGGTCGTATTCACCGTCTGCTCCGCAAGGGCAACTACGCCAAGCGCGTTGGAAAAATGGCCCTTTTCAGGGCCACAACATTATCAAGAAAGAGTTTAACGATTAATTTTCTAATGCCTTTCCGACACTTGAATATCGAAAGTTGAATCTTCGCAGAGCCGTAGATTCCATTTTTTTTTAATTCTTTATTTAAGAGATTTTTAGCCTTACCCAACAAACAATTGAGAGCTCTTATAAAACACCTGAGTTGATCAAACGTTGAATAATAGCTTCCAGAGTTGAACAAGAATGTAGTTGTATTGCCGTTTGATTAAAAGTTTTAAGAGCTGTTGGAGCACTCTTAAATGATTGTTTACATTCGGTTAAACTGTTTGACAGGAGCCATATAGGATGTGGAATAAACGCATCAAAACAAATCATTGGGAGCTCTTATAAAACACCTGAGTTGATGAAACGTTGAATAAGAGCTTCCAGAGTTGAACAAGAATGTAGTTGTATTGCCTTTTTGGTTAGAAGCTTCAAAAGCTGCTTGGAGCACTCTTAAATGATTGTTTACTTTCGGTTTAACTATATGCTTTATAAGACCTACGATAACTTTTATAGCACCTTTGTTAAACTGATTGACAAGAGCTATATAGAACGTGACATAAACACATCAAAACAAACCATTGGGAGCTCTTATACAACACCTGAGTCGATCAAACGTTGAATAATAGCTTCCAGAGTTGAACAAGAATGTAGTTGTATTGCCATTTGGTTAAAAGCTTGAAAACTGCTTGGAGCACTCTTAAATGATTGTTTACTTTCGGTTTAACTATATGCTTTATAAGACCTACGATAACTTTTATAGCACCTTTGTTAAACTGATTGACAAGAGCTATATAGAACGTGACATAAACGCATCAAAACAAACCATTGGGAGCTCTTATACAACACCTGAGTTGATCAAACGTTGAATAATAGCTTCCAGAGTTAAACAAGAATGTAATTGTATTGCCATTTGGTTAAAAGCTTCAAAAACTGCTTGGAGCACTCTTAAATGATTGTTTATGTTCGGTTAAACTGTTTGACAGGAGCCATATAGGATGTGGTATAAACGCATCAAAACAAACCATTGAGAGCTCTTATATAACACCTGAGTTGATCAAACGTTGAATAATAGCTTCCAGAGTTGTACAAGAATGTAGTTGTATTGCCTTTTTGGTTAAACGCTTCAAAAGCTGCTTGGAGCACTCTTTAATGATTGTTTACGTTCGACCAACCACCAACCACAATTTTGTTGCTAAAAATAGCACAAGTGATAGGCACGTTTATATGACCATAAGGCAATGATTATTAGACTGCAAGAGAAGTCACTCCAGATGAGCTTCATATACTTCTCTCATACACAGCAAAAAAAGTTGTTGAATATTACATCGAAACTGCTGCAACCAGGTCAATCCCTCGGTTGTGTAATATCACATTGTACGATGTACATCGATTTTGCGAACAAAATTACATCCATTGATGTAAAATTGTATCTGCTTTTTGCTATTACATCATTATTTCATACATCAGCTTGAATTACGTTGATCGATATTACATTTTTTTTTGCTGTGTATGATCAAAATATGTATTCAATAATAGAGCAGATGGAAACAGAAGCGGCTGGCAATCCGGGGATCATGAGTTCGAATCTTGCTTCGAGAAACCCCTCGGTGGAGTAGAGGTAAATTATATATAGGTGTTATTAATAAATGCAAACATTAATTTAAGACATATATCATATAATCAACGATAACATTTCTAGATCAATTCTCTCAATTAATGATTAGAGAGATTAATTGAAAGAATATCAATCAAAGATTAAACAGATGCTTGTTACTACTTCCTCCATGATCACAGAATGTGAATTATGGCATAATTACATATTTTTTCAATGTGCACAAATAAATTAAATTAATAAAAACTGTACAAGCAATTATTTTGGCGTACCACGACAATTGTTAAACTAATTTTAACCTGTGAATATTGTGAGTACTTACACATTGGTTATTAAGGATTCATTAAAAAGTGCTATAAACGCTTTTCACCGCTTGCTGTATAGTGATTATTTAGGAGTCATAAAAGAGTGTAACAAACGCCTCTCAGGTTCAATCTCTAATACATTTCGAAGCAGCTGTTAGGAGGTGTCTACACAGCAAAAAAAAAATGTAATATCGATCAACGTAATTCAAGCTGATGTATGAAATAGTGATGTAATAGCAAAAAGCAAATACAATATTACATCAATGGATGTAATTTTGTTCGCAAAATCGATGTACATCGTACAATGTGATATTACACAACCGATGGATTGACCTTGTTGCAGCAGTTTCGATGTAATATTCAACAACTTTTTTTGCTGTGTACAAACGTTGTATTAGAGCTTTCACCAAAACAATAAAGCTTGAGTTTTTAAATATGTATCTATAAACGTTGTATAAAAGTTTCTTCTATCCGGTTATTAAGGAGTCATTGAAAAGTGTTATAAACGCTTTTCATCGCTTGCTGTTAAATTAATATTTAGGAGTCATAAAAGAGTGTAACAAACGCCTCTCAGGTTTACTCTCTACTAAATTTCAAAGCAGCTGTAAAGAAGTGTCTACAAACGTTGTATAAGAGCTTTCACCAAAATAATAAAGCTTGAGTTTAAATATGCATCTATAAACGTTGTATAAAAGTTGCTTCTACTCCTATACCGCGTATACATATAATGCTGTAGTTGAACAGGTTCTCCAAACCAGTGTAAACAAGAGTTTTACAGAAGTTGTAATAAACAAATTGTGCAGTTATTATTCAGCATGCAGTTGAATAAAATCACAATGGAAGCGTTTCTTCAACAAGAAATTGATTTTGGGTAAACGTTTTACTGAATACGTTAGACAACACCTTTGTGTTGCAGTTGTATAGGTTCTCCAAACCAGTATAAACAAGGGTTTTATAAAAGTTGTGGTGAACACACTGTGCAATTATTATTCAACATGCAGCTCAACAAAATCAAAACGAAAGCGTTTCTTCAACTGGAAATTGTTACTTGGGTAGACTAATTCATCTCTAAGATTCCATTTTTATTGCATTTCTACAAAACTTATTTCAGAATCGAACTCGTCTTCACAGACTGTGTGAAGAAGAACGATGCATCATCGAGCACAACCCGTTCCGTTCCAAAATTGTCCTCATCACAACCTCCAAAACAACCATCTACCCTCTCGACATCTCGAGTGGATCTCCCGGTTCATCATACCACCTAGCACTGTTCTACTGATTGGTAATAATATTTACCCGGAGTTCACCGCACTCGTGGTTGAAGCAAAGTGCCCGGCATGCAAACCGCTCATCAAAATCGCCATCGCCATCCGGTACCCATGCTCGGCATAACCATCATTCCAAAACCACAACCAAAACGGCCCTTTTCAGGGCCACCAATAATTGGACAAAGAGTTAGTTTTGAAGACAATTTCTTTCCAGAATATTACAGTTACACTTAAATTTGGGGACTATACTGGGGTGTGGGAACGCTGGAAGGGGAGATGCTGTCTGTCTTCGAACTACCAACATCATTCCAAAGCTCCTCCAGGGCGACAGAGTAGAGCAAACCCAACAACATCAGCCCAACAAAACGGCCCTTTTCAGGGCCACCAAACTTTCGCAAAAGAGTTATTTAGGAATATTCCTAAAATATAATATACACAATTAAGTACAACACATAACAGACGTTATCCAACGCCAACCCTGCGGTCGTATCTAGTATACAACCCTTCCAACTTTTTCCTCCAGGTGAAATTATCCCTATAGACGAGATGAAAATCCCATCCGCGATCGCGTTTTCAGTGTCCGGATCAAAGGAAGGAGCTGTTTTAACAAGCGAACAGCCCGGATTTGCCTATAGTTAAACGTAATGTTTAAGCCGAACGGAAACCTTTCGCTATGTTCCAATAAAAATAAAAATAATATTGTTATGTTGAAAATGATTTTATTTGGATCGATAGTAGTAGCATAGAGGTAACTCTAAGACCACTGGGTCCCGAAGAAAATCATTATTATTTTTGGCTCACTCAGTACCAGAACAACGGTCCCAAGCAGTCCCAAGCTATTTCACTCACCCCTGCATGTTCTGCATGAATCCACACACCCCTGATGTTATCTGTCAAACTTTCATAGCGAATCAAAACAAACATAGTGTAGTAATAGAATTTCAACTAGAATAGGGTACGTTAATCGTTTGCTTGGGACCAATAGGCTACTAAAGTGGTGAGCCAATTTAAAATCGTTAGTTTCGTATTGATTGTTGGTAGTAGCTCATTTCATTTTAACTATATTAAAGTTTCTTTCGAAACAACAATAATCCAATTTTATTTCAACACTGTCATGCTTTTCATTTGACAGTAGTACAATTCATTTTGAAAGTTTAAACTTTTAAAAGTAGTGAGGTGACTACTTTTGGTTTGAAAGCTAACCGCTTTCTACCAAAAAGAACCAACGCAAACTTTTAATTCTACCAACGGATTTTTTAATTTTAGCAACGATTATTTTTTGTGTGTAAGTATGTTCTACCCAAAATTTAGTTTAGTTCACGTAAATTTGAGAATATGCAATTTACTTTTATGTTATTTATTGGGCTGAAATATATCGTTGAGTCGAATCTCTCGTTCCTTTTTTGACAACATTAACGAGTGCAAGTGAGAGGCCGAACTCAAAATTAAGTTAAAATGTCTCAAATTTTGGGTGGTATTTTTTCTCAGCATCCGCAAGCACCCGACCCTGCGGTGAATGCCGACGAAAAAGCCTTTCTAGAAAAATTTCGTTTTTCTCACCCCTGAAGAAACGATGGGAAAACGAAACACGGGTCCGCGAAAAAATTCACCGCGCTCGCCTTGCCTGGCAAGGAACGATGAGAGATTGTTGTTGTCATTCTCGTTTCAGCCAGGTAGGATCACGAACGATTTTTTGGTGGACCTTTTCTGCAATTTCCTCCGTCCGGAACCTATCCGATTGGTGTTGAAAGGCACACCGGAAGCAAACTTCATCCACTCGGATCGGATGAGGCAGTAGATTGTGGTTGGATTGCGATAAATTTGCTGGTTTTTCCTCCGCCTTCGACAGACCCAAGCCAGCATAAGAGGTAAGTAGCCTTTTTTTTCACTGCATCATGGGGGCCAAAAGCTGACGTTAACTGCGCTGTTTGATGCTGTTGGCGATTTTTTTAAATGTAAACTCTATTTTAAAAAAAATAGAACGTAAAAACTTTGTAAATTGTGTGGGAAATGCAATAAATGGAAGTTTGCGCTGTGTTTGTTTACGATTTATTGCACAGGAACGCATTCGGATTGCCGAGGGGGCTTTCTCTTGCACAGGACCAGGGAGTGGAGGGTTGTTATTGAGGAAAGAGGATAGAAAATCGCAATCCAAGATGGTGAAACGAAAGACTCAACCACTGATCGATTCGGAAAGCAGCAGTGATTCCGGGTCCGGATCCGATCTGGACTCAGTGAGTGGTTTTTGAATGTTATTGAGAGTTCATTGGAGGTAATTTTATTGCGTTTTGCTTTCATAGGAGCTGCTATCGTTGGCCAAGAAAAAGAAAACAACCAGACTGGCATCGAATTCTCCGGGAGGGAAGTCATCCGATTCGGACTCGGAGGATGATTCGGAGCCAGAAGCGGCATCGCAGCGAAAGAAGCATGGTGCAAAGCCAGCATCGTCTTCAGAGTCCGAAGAAGAGGAAGAGGAGGAAGATGAAGAAGAAGAGGAGGAAGAACCGGAACAGGAGGTGAAACCCGCGATCAAAGGTAGTGTGAAGCGGAAGCAACCAGAAGATGAAGAAGAAGCAGAGGTAGAGGAAGCTAAATCGGAACCAGAGGAGGGCCAGGTTTCGTCTGAGGAGGAATCTGGTTCCGGTTCCGGTGATGACAGCGACGATGAAAGTGGAAGCAGCAGTAGCAGCGATTCCGAATTTGATGACGGGTATGACGAGAATCTGATGGGCGATGAAGCGGATCGGGCTAGGCTGAATGCCTTGTCGGAGAAGGAACGAGAGACGGAAATTTTCAAACGTATCGAACGGCGCGATGTTATGAAGACGCGCTGGGAGATCGAGCGTAAGTTGAAGCTGGCCAAGAAGGCAGAGCGTGCAAAGGACAAGGAATCGCAGCCACCGAGGAAGAAAAAGAAGAAGGACAAGAAAAAGAAGTTGGCGCAACAGAAGGAGCAGGAAGACAAGAAAAAGAAAGTCAAGGAACCGACTCCGGAACCAAAAGAACCATCTCCGCCGCCTCCAGTGCAGCAGCTAGATGAACCTTCCGAGGGTGAGGCCAGTGATACCTCACTTTCTTCGCCGGATAAATCCAAAGAAGCTGAATCGGCTTCCGGAGCTTCGGACTTTTTCGATCCGAAAGAACGATCCAAGGAGCGCAAGAAGAATGTGGAAGCTAATCGAACCGATGACAAACGAAGCAATGCCATGGCCATGTTGAAAGCTAAACGAGAAGGTAAAGCCAAGCGAGAGGAGGAAGAAGCCAAACGGGAAGCTAAACGTAAGGCCGAAGCCGAAGGCAAGAACAACTTGGAAGACGTCCCCGGAGGCAAATCCTCACAGAAGCTGAAAGCATCGGATATCTATTCGGACGACTCTGGAAGTGATAGCGACGACGAGAAGAAGTCTGATCGTCGATCGAAATCTGGTTCCAGTAGTGGCAGCGGAAGTGACAGCCGTTCGTCGTCCGAGAGCGAAACGGAAGGTGAGCCAAAGGAAAAGAAAATATCTTCTAGTTCCAGTTCCACCTCTAGCAGGAAGCCAGTGGCCATCACTAACCGTGACGAGCTGAACAAGTTACGAATCTCGCGACACAAGATTGAACGCTTCATTGCACTTCCGATGTTCGATCAGATTGTGCTGAACTGCTTTGTGCGAATCAATATCGGAAACAACAACGGAAGACCAGTCTATCGGGTAGCGGAGATCGTGGGAGTCGTGGAAACGGCCAAGATCTATCAGTTCGGAAAGTGTCGTACGAACAAAGGATTCAAATTGAAGCACGGCAGCCAGGAGCGAGTATTTCGATTGGAGTTTGTTTCGAATCAGGACTTTACCGATAGCGAGTATCAAAAGTGGCTCAGCGTTTGCGAAGCCACAAGTACTCCGTTGCCCTGTGTGGACTTCATTGACAAGAAACAGGATGAAATCAAGGAAGCGATCCAGTACGAATTCAAGGATGCAGACATCGACAAGATCATCGAGGAGAAGAATCGATTCCGGGCATATCCGACCAACTACGCCATGAAGAAGACGCTGCTCATGAAGGTGAGATTGGTTGGATATTTTCCAGCAATGGCACTGGCTAAAGCATTGCGATTTATTTTTTTTTTAGGAACGAGACGCCGCCCAACTGCGTGGGGAGGACGCGTTGGCCCGTGAACTCAACACCCAGATACAGGAGCTTGAAGAACGCGCCAGCATTCTGGACAAGAAGCGTAGCAGCAGTATTAGTTTAATTTCCTACATTAACGACCGCAACCGGAAACGCAACGTTGAGGATGCCGAGAAAGCCATCAAGGAGGAGATCCGTGCCTCTCGCGGCTTGAAGATCGAGGATCCATTCACGCGACGACAGACTCAGCCACGGATGTCGTTCAAGGCATCAGATAAGAAGGATGAACTTCCTATGCTTATGATGCCGGCACCTCCACCACCGGGTCATAAGAAGAAAACGGACGACAAGAAACCCACGTCCAGCGCGGACAACAACCTGTACTCGTTGCATGATTTCGAGATCGATCTGGACGTTCCCCTACCTGGTAAGTGCTACATAAGTGCTGAGACCATTGGTGGTTTTAATTTAATCCCTTTGTCTTTCTTCTGCAGTCGGCTCGGTTAACGTACTTCCGAAACCAGTTGAGAAAGCGGTCAAAGAATCCGGTCCGAAACGCTCGCTCAATCTCGAAGACTACAAGAAGAAGCGAGGTCTAATCTAGACGATTACAAAACGTACCCCCTTACCGAACAAGTACTATCGGTATTCTCTTACTATTATTCTATAGAAACTACTGGTAACGAAATGAGTAGCATTGGATCTTGAAATGTGACGCTCATACACACACACACACAAAAACCCTCAAACTCACAAACAGACAGACAGGCTACAACTAAAGAAAACTCAAGGTAAATACCTAGCTGCTACTTATAATATCGAAACGTTACTATCTAGGGAGTTGGCATGGATACTTGTCCACTATTTCAGAGCAGTTACTACTGCAAGCTTTGTTCTTCGTTAAATCCTCGTTTAAAACAAGATAATAGCCATTGCAATAGAACCACCAGCAGGATTGAGTGAACCCGATGGAGGAAGTAAAACATCAACATTGATAAATAACTATACTTAGACTGTCTTCGATTTTAATTTATTTGTAACATCCTTTTTTACGAATATCGATTATGATGAAGGAACTTATTATTGTTTAGGATAATCAAATTAATACTGCTAAAAAGTAAAATCAGCAACAAAAAAAAAACAAGCAAAAATAAGGTCATTAGTGCATTGCAAGAAGGCAGGAATAATAATACCGAGTGATTAAGCGGAAAATATAACAAATGTATTGTTATGATTGAGGCAGAACATCTACGAACTTGATTGAAAGAAACGTCCGGAAATGTGTGATATTTGGCAGACAGTTGTGTAATGAACAAATTGCCCGTACCTTACATCTGCTTAGAAAAACAGTTCTCTGCTGTGCTTTTCATAAGGGCCAATGTCGTAAGCGTAATTTCTTCATCCGCGAATTTCTCGAGAATGAAAACTCACCCAAGTAAACCATCCCGATGATTTTGTAGAGGAAGTAACGCCCTATTCGATAGAATTGGTAACTTACATGGATGGCTAGACTTTGAATTACGAGAAATCTACGAAATAAGCCTTTGTTTACGTTTGCGACAGTGGTCCTTATCAATACGCAGTGTCGAGTTATACCGTCGTGCGGCCTTCTTAGGCTTGGGTGAGCTACTCACCCGTATTCTTGTTTTCGTTCGAACCGTATTTTCCATACAAAAAAAAAAGTTTTTTTTTGTATGGAAAATACGGTTTGAACGAAAACAAGAATATGGGTGACTGTCGACACGTTCATATTTTAAGGAATTAGCAGGCTCGCATAAAATAATCATCTAACTTTGTTGTTTAGTTCCCAGCATTAAGAAAAAAGTTCAACCTACGTGTTTAACAAAAATTTACCTATCCTCCACAACATACAATTCAAAATCGTCGATGTAGATGTATATAAAAAAAAACAAAAGAGTTATCTCTTTTATAGCTCTAGAGTACGCATTTTTGATGGGAAACGGGATCACCGACAAATCGTCGTGAATGACCATAACAAAAACAATAACATGTCTGACCAAAGCACACTACTGACACCGGCTCCGTGTTCGCGGGAAATATTTAGCTAAGCCATGAACCCGCATGCAAAAGTTATGAGTTGGTTTGTGTCTGATCTATTCTGGACAACTTATTTTTATCTAGATCAATAAATCCCATCGTTTTGACAGTTCGGATCACTGCACGTTTAAATCTGCCGTTTACGATTTTCGGGCATAAGTAAGAATTATGTGTCATGTCGGTTTGTCGGTGACGGGACCACCGACAAACCGACATGAATCATCATACAATTTACAAAGAAATTTCTGATCAAAGCACAAAACTGACATCTGCCGCCGTGTTCGCGGAAAATATTTATCCTAGACACGCGTATAAAATGTATGAGTTGGTTCGTGTCTAATCTATTTCGGACAAATTATTTTTTATCTAGATAAAACATTTCTATGGTTTTGACAGATGGGATCGCTGCACATATGAATCGGCCGTTATGGATTCTCGATCAAGAGTTAAGTTTCAGTTTCATGTCGGTTTGTCGGTGGTTCGCACGCCCACTAGGTTGAACAGCTGACAAGAAAGCCCACATAACATACCCGATATCTTCACACAACACTGTCGTGTCGCCTTGATCAGTCTGGTCAGTTTCCCGGGAAAATCGTTGTCGTCCATAATCTTCCATGGCTCTTCACGGTCAGCGACCTTGAATCCGACCAGTCCTTCCACCCTCGCTTGTCCCGTCTGCAATAGCGCTCGACTTTCTTCTCTAGAAGCGAATACCGTTGAGGGGCTTCGTTCTTAACTATTCTGATTCTCGCCCGCTCTATATCTTTGGCTTATCTTCGGTCCTCTACACGGAAACCACAAAATACGCAAACATTACTCAATTTAGGCTATAACACATTCGAGGGAAAACGGGACATCCCTAAAATGTATATATTTCTTTTTCCTTTTATGAGCATCTGTTACTCATAAATTAATAATTTTTATTCATTTTTGTTCTAGCAATTACTCATAAATGCGTAAAATTTTAGTCATTTTATGAGTAGTCCCGTCACCTTGACGGGACCGATATGACACTTAATTCTGACTTATACCCGAAAATCGTAAACGGCCGATTTAAATATTCAGTGATGCGAACTGTCAAAAGCATAGGATTTTTTGATCTAGATAAAAATAATTTGTCCAGAATAGATCAGACACGAACAAATTCATAACTATTGCATGCGTGTTCATGGCTTAGCTGAATATTTACCGCTAACACGGAGTCAGATGTCAGTAGTGTGCTTTGGTCAGAAATTGTATTGTGTTTGCTATGGTCATTCATGTCGGTTTGTCGGTGCTACCAGTTCGTCTTCACAGCCAGGTTCACACAAGATTGTGTCGAACAAGAGCAAATTTTCATTATGTCGTAAGTAACATTCGCACCAATCCGAGAAAAATAAAGTTTTGTTTTGATGACCGAAAAGTAATTCCTATTTCCAATTAAACACATATAATCCCATAGTGATAGCAATGTTTAACATATTTAGCAGCGTTTTAATCATACAAATGCAAATCGCTAGCTTTCATGCTAAAAAATACTGGTTTTTGAGTCAAAAGTTATTATACGTCGTTTGGTGGCCCCTATTGTTACTTAAGTCAAAGTGTATTTACCAGGATATTCGGGAGAATTATCAATTACGTCTCCTTACGTGCAGCCCATTCATCATTTTAGGACCACCGAAATCATCTTAGCAACAAACAGTTCGATTTATTCACTTTAATAATAAGAAAGCGAAACGACGAACGTACACTTTTCACGGGTTTCTCAGTGCTGTTACTTAAGTCAAACGGCATCTCCATAGAAATCGGGTGACTTAAGTAACATCGAAAAATATTCTGATCGGTAATAAATTTAAAAATGATATGTGATCCTATATTCGGACAGTATATAGTGTAATAGCAGGAGAATCGATTGACACTGATAGCTCGACTTTATTTACCTTTGTTACTTTCGACGTAATGAAAATTTGCTCTTGAATTTTCTTTGCTTTGGTTTAAGCAAAAATGATTTTTTTTAACTTTATTTTTGAGATTTTTAGCCGTAGGCTAGTTCATCTCGTCCATTAAAGGTGGGGCCTCAGAAGGTGGACCCCCAACAGAGCGAGCAACAGAGTATTTTTCTACAGTGTTTACTTCACCGAAAATTGGTTCCTGGCTCGATCGTACATTTACGCAACATATTAAAGACACAACACACAGAAAAAAAGTTGTTGAATATTACATCCAAACTGCTGCAACCAGGTCAATCCATCGGTTGTGTAATATAAGGTTGTACGATGTACATCGATTTTGCGAACAAAATTACAACCATTGATGTAATATTGTATCTGCTTTTTGCTATTACATCATTATTTCATACATCAGCTTGAATAACATTGATCGATATTACATTTTTTTTTGCTGTGCATTAAAATCCGAATAAGACAGAGCACCACACCAGGGGAACCGGGAGGGCCCCCACCAGGCAGAGATGTCCCAACAGCCGAAAGGATTTAAAAAAGGCTAATACCAACAATCAATACGAAACTAACGATTTTAAATTGGCTCACTACTTTAGTAGCCTATTGGTCCCAAGCAAACGATTAACGTACCCTATTCTAGTTGAAATTCTATTACTACACTATGTTTGTTTTGATTCGCTATGAAAGTTTGACAGATAACATCAGGGGTGTGTGGATTCATGCAGAACATGCAGGGGTGAGTGAAATAGCTTGGGACTGCTTGGGACCGTTGTTCTGGTACTGAGTGAGCCAAAAATAATAATGATTTTCTTCGGGACCCAGTGGTCTTAGAGTTACCTCTATGGAGTTACCTCTATGCTACTACTGGATTGAACTAGCATTTTCACCAAATGTACTGGAATGTTTTGGTTCTATCTCTTTCACTCTACTCAAAACTGAAATGCATAAAAAAATGACAAAATGATACGCACTCTTTGTACACTGTCAAAGAATCATTGTACACAAAATCAACTTTGTTCAAATCAAAACAAAAAAACTAACCCATCTGGTGGATGATGGCACAAGCTTCCAAGAAAATTCTATTACAGTGAACCACATTATTTTAATGGATTTCTTCGCCAGTTAGTCGTCTGTCACTTCGTTTGTGCTAATACCACCGGTTGGAAACACGATTTAAAATTGGCTCACTACTCGACTAGCCTATTGGTCCCAAGCAAACGATTAACGCACCCCATTCTAGTCGAAATTCTAGTACTACACCATGTTTGTTTTGATTCTCTATGAGAGTTTGACAGATAAAATGAGGGGTTCGTGGATTTTCCTATGTTCCGAGGGGTGCATCGATTAGCTTGGGACCGAAGATAGTACCAGAGCTGAGCCAAAAAGTTATGCACTTTTCTTCGGGACCTTCTGGTCTTCGAGTTACCTCTATGGAGTTATGTCATCAGCTACACGCAGAAAAAAATATTTTAAACGTAATAATATTTGACGTAAATGCAATAAGAATTTCATGTTGTTTTGGCTGCAAAAAGAAATCATTATTGTTTCAACAATCCAGTATTGTTGTCCCTTAAACCCATGAATTGTTAAATCAAAAAGAAAATCTTTTCGAATTTACAAGAGCTTTCATGGTTTTGACGTAAGCTGTCAAATTTGGCAGCTGGGTCAACAAGAAAATATGTTTGTTTTTAAAAGAGATTTCTTGTTGATTCAATCAAATTTATTTTATGAAGGCTGACAATTCACGCAGTAGAAATAACAATATGTTTATTTATTCAAAAATAATGTCGATTTTTTTTTGTGTTTTGTTTTCTTTTTGCAACAAACAGAATTGCAATTGAATTTTTGAGGCATAAAATTACTGATCACGCCTTCCTTCGGGAAGGGAAGTAAAACCGTTAGTCACCGGTTCATGAGTTGATGGGTCGATATGTAGGGTCCAGGTGTGGGAGGTGTATTCCTGGCGTCGGGAGCATTGGTACTCAGTACGGAAAACAAGATCGACGGAAAAAATCAAGGAAAAAAAACTGAAAAATTGATTATATTTAACAACTGCAGCTTGAACTGCAGCTTACTTGCTTACCTCAAGTCTCAAGATTTTCGGAAATCTCGTACTTATTTCCCGAAATTCACAATTAAAAACAATACTTAATCAAATGAGAAATTTTTTGTTATTGTTTACATTTTTGTCCGGGTGAAAACGAGGGAATGGTTGGTAGTTATTTTTGTATTCATGGCCCGTGGAATGGACACAGCAAATAAATGCTAAATTAAAATTAACTATTGTTGGCTTAATAATAGAATATTGTTATTTTTACAATAGTTGCAATTGAAAAGTGGCTTATTAAAACAAAAAGAATCTTATGTTGAATTTATTTGAATAAGTTTTATAGAAACAATAAAATGCAAGATAATTTCAACCGGAATTGTTTGTTTAAATACAACTAAAGTTTTGTTTGGTTCAATGCAAACAATTTTCTGTCCGTGTAGCATGTCGCGTATGCTATTTGGAAGCCCGTGGAATTCCCGCAGGTTCTGATACTGAGGGCATACGCATAGAATGTGCTCGATTGAGGCTGGAGTTCTACAACCGACGCAAGTCCTGTGGACGCTATCTTCTGATCCCGCTGGTTCAAATGTTCTGTCCATTTCCTCGTCGTATCTTTGATCCGTCTGATGAAGAGGGAGCGGTTTTGGGCCCACTCTGCGTCCCAAGCTTCCCGTACTTTGCTCACGATCCACCGCTGGACATCGTGTAACGGTACTTCGTTGGTATAGCGAGGGGCAGATGGTCCTGCCCCAGCCAGAAAGGCAGCTTAAGAGATGCCTGGTATTCCGCAATGCCCCGGAACCCAGTAGAATACCGTGTTTGGTGGTGTGGACTTAATCGTCGCCTGTACCCAGGGATGAGTCGGGGCCTCAGATGTTAGGGCTTGTATGACGCTGTGTGAATCCGTGAAGATCCTCGTTCCGGATGTCTTCGAGATGAAAGCAGCGGCTTTGGTTGCGATAGCTGCGGTTATACGGAAGCGGAAAGGCAGGATGCCAGCGTCGATGCATGCAGCGTCAGCGGGCGTGGATGGCAGCAGGCCAGAGACAATTCGGACTTAGGTGTTGTAGACTGGTGCTAACTTAGCTAAAAGCTTATCCGTTGCTATGCAGGTCATCTACAACCCGTATAGAAGGCGACTGTCGACAATTGCACTCGCCATGTGAAAACGGATGCTGCGGTTGTTCGATCTATTCTGTCGGGAAATGGTCCGGATGAGATTCACTCGGCTGCGGCAATTTATATTGACTGCACTGAAATGCTCAAAGTTGAGGAATCGGTCAACGAGAACACCCAGAACTCGAACGGTCTTCTTCAGCGGTATGGACTGGTCGTCGATTAAGATCGGTGGTCCGCTAATTCTGTGTCGAGAAGGGCAGACATGGCACCTGATGCTTTTAGAGGCTGAAAATTCAAAGCCTACTGAGTGGGCCCACCTGACGACGACGGAGACTGCCGCTTGGGCTCTCATCCTTGTACGTACTGGCGTGGGTCCGGTGCGAGGTCCGGTGGTGACGATGCGTATGTCGTCAGCGTAGACGAACACATATGTTTTTCGGTAGTTGACGGAAGACTCCGTTCATCGCCACGAGGAACAGGGTAACGGCGATAACCGATCCTTGTGAGACACCCGTTTCCTCGTGGAAAAGCCTGGATTTGGTGTTGCCGACTGCGACTCGGAATGAGCGGTTGGACAAGAAGCAAAAAAGACCAACAGCTCTGCATTTCATTATCAGTTTCTCAATTCATGTCAGAAATTCGAACACATCGTATGAATACGCTGATAGACTATGGCCTTAAACGAAGTGACAGATGACTAACTGGCGAAGAAATCCATTAAAATAATGTGGTTCACTACAATAGAATTTTCTTGGAAGCTTGTGCCATCATTCACCAGATGGGTTAGTTTTTTTGTTTTGATTTGAACAAAGTTGATTTAGTCACCAAAGTTTTCGAGCCGCTCCGTCTGTCACTTCGTTTGTGCTATGACTTTACAGCATACATACGCCAGGAGACGGCTTCAGTAAGTAACCATCTTCAAAGGCAAGTTGTGAGTGATGGCCAACTGATCACTGTGGAATACCCGGAGGATGTTTTCGACGATGCACTTTTTTTAAAAACTCTGAAAGAAATCAAATTTATCATATTGATGGATATATTCTACTGCATAAGCTGCCTGTATTTTGTGGTAATATACGAGCAGAATGCACATAATTAATTAATATCTCCATAATACTAACTTGAACCGTGATGCTGTCTTGAGTAAAGTTGTTCCTTATAGCTTGAACTGCGTGTGCTAAAATTCTGAGCTTAATCGAGTTTGCTGAATCAGTTATATGCACGAAAGAGTACCTTTAGGCTGAGAGAATCCATTGCCGTACAAAGTTCGATCAACTAAGTATGACCAACAATCAATACGAAACTAACGATTTTAAATTGGCTCACCACTTTAGTAGCCTATTGGTCCCAAGCAAACGATTAACGTACCCTATTCTAGTTGAAATTCTATTACTACACTATGTTTGTTTTGATTCGCTATGAAAGTTTGACAGATAACATCAGGGGTGTGTGGATTCATGCAGAACATGCAGGGGTGAGTGAAATAGCTTGGGACTGCTTGGGACCGTTGTTCTGGTACTGAGTGAGCCAAAAATAATAATGATTTTCTTCGGGACCCAGTGGTCTTAGAGTTACCTCTATGGTATGACAGTCGCTCCATGACAGTACCGAGGACAGTACAACCATAGAGGTAACTCTAAGACCACTGGGTCCCGAAGAAAATCATTATTATTTTTGGCTCACTCAGTACCAGAACAAAGCTATTTCACTCACCCCTGCATGAATCCACACACCCCTGATGTTATCTGTCAAACTTTCATAGCGAATCAAAACAAACATAGTGTAGTAATAGAATTTCAACTACAATAGGGTACGTTAATCGTTTGCTTGGGACCAATAGGCTACTAAAGTGGTGAGCCAATTTAAAATCGTTAGTTTCGTATTGATTGTTGGTACAACCAACCGGTCAGCACTCGTGTTTATTTCAGTTGCCGTGGGGACGTAATTTGTGATTAGCCCTGGTCCCTTTTAAATTGTATCATTATTTATGTACGGTCCTTATATTTGAAATGACGTTTCACATTCATCTAGTGGTGGCCAATTTTCATTCCAATAATCGATTAATCGAGTAAAATATTTGTAATCGGTTATATCATGCCGATATGAGCATTAACTTCTCTAGAGGATCATCACCCATCGTTTCAAACATATGCTGCATCTAGTGCTGCACTCTCATTGGTGGAAAAATTACAACACAACGAACAAAAAAATAATCGATTATTTGTTAATCGAGTAACTTAAAAAATCGAACATCCCTGATTTTGGTGATTGATTTGATGAAAAAACGTGCGCAACATTTCATCTCTACCGAGGGGGCAGCAAAACCACAAAATTACCTGGCATACGGGGGCATTCATTGGATGAAAGGAACCGTGAAAGAGGACACAAAAATAGAAAGTTTTTCTTCAGACAGTTTCGTCTTAGTATTCTTTTTTGGTTCCAGTGTACCAAAATAGATGCAACTTTGGATTTCGGTTCCATTTTTAATGCAGTTAACGAATAAGTTTTTACCTCAATACCCCTAAACAATCCAATTTGGGTTATTATCTCAACTTTATGTGTTATGGTCGTATCATCTATGATATCGTTAGTGTATGGTACCCGTTTATAAAAGAATCCTTTTCCTCCCCCGATGACCGTAAATACGTGGTTAGCAACGTTATTGACCTTGAAAGTAATGATTTACCGAATTTATCACATCGCGAATGGATTGCAAATTTAACGGCGCCGGTGGTGTAGTAGTAAGCGTGATTACCTCTCACCCCAGCAGGCCTGGGTTCAATCCCAGTCGGCGCCGCCGGGATGTTCTGAGGCATAACATCTCTGATCACGCCTTCCTTCGGATGGGAAGTAAAGCCGTTGGTCCCCGGTTCATGAGTTGATGGGTCGATAGGTAGGGTCCAGGTGTGGGAGCTGCCTTCCTGGCACGTCGGTAGCATTGGTGCTCAGCACGGAAAACAAGATCGACGGAAAAAAACAAACCAAAGGAAAAAAAATGGATTGCAAATCTCAAGCAGTATACAGTTTGAATAACAAATATATTTTTGAGAGTGGTTTTTATCTTTTCACTACCTTAAACATGTTTCAAACCACAGGGAAATGTTTAATAACTTTCAATATGCTGAACTAAAACGTAAACAATCCAATTGAGTCGACTCGATCCAATTTCGAGATTGTCTGATCGACCGTGTAAACTTAAAGCATTTTTGTTGAAACTGAAATCTCGGCACCCTATCGAAAGCTCCTATGAGCCTCGATGAGCTTTGCCACCCGAAAGCTTATGCAATGACATGTGCAGGCATGCGTTTGTGTGGGTTTACCGTCTGGCAGCTGCACACATCGCAACATAAATGTCAAATTCATGCCTTTCTCTTTCCTCTCCATCGCAAGCTGTTGTGCTTCTTTTGGATAGTTTCGGAAAAAAGTACTGCAAACATGAACCTGTTTGGAGCGTTCGCTTGGTATCTTTCCATGTGGAAATTTGGATTTAACGTTTCGATGCATCATTTAAATACAGTATTACGTGAATATATTGTCATCAACAGCTAAATATGGCATGATGATTCATGTTCGTTGCGAACTTTTAAACTGCCATCCACAAAAGTCACGCATTGGTTCGAGCAGTTCGAAATGTATCGATGTGTCATGTCAGCAATCTCGCTGTGCGAAAGGTTCCAAGGAACAAGAAGCAAAGTAGCAGACATCCCTTGGAGAACCAACAAAAAACGAAATACAGTGGCGAATAGTAAATAAATGGCAGCTGTTCCTGGCTGGCCAAGTGTAAATCCATCCGAATTTCCACCTGGTTGGATTCCTGTAGACCATTCGGCTACACCGTGTTCCGGAAGTGGTTGCGTGTTGTGGTAGTACTCGCGTGTAATCTTTTTTTTTTACCTCACCAGGAGTTTGTGTTGTTACCGTTCAATTTTCCCCCTCCTGTTGCTTCAAGTCCGAGTGAGCAGCACTAGAGTAGGAAAAAAATTGTACTTGGACCCCCAACGGAGATCCGGGTTCTCTGTTTCAAGGTCCTTATCGTTAAATCGTGCATTTTGTGGTATTTGAGAAGAATTAACGTAACGTAATCGCTAGCCGATTGCAACAGGTTCCGGAAATTATCGCGCAATTAAAATGCTCTGAGTGCGGTGTTCTTGGGTTCTAGAATATTTCGGTGTGTGTCCTAGAAATAGGATATTTTTATTCCACGGTGAAGAAGGTCCCTAGAAGTGGTCCCCATGAGGAAGATGGACAATCGATTGAACCTTGATTCCGAGGTTCGCGAGCTGAAGCTAGGGTCGACCTTTACGACTCCGTCGCCAAAAACCGTGTTCCACACGATAAAGTATGATTTCAAGCCGGCCAGTGTGGACGTCAATAAGCCAGCTTCCCTGGAGGTCGGGAGCAACAAACAGGTCACAGTGACGGTGCCACATTTGGGTATGTTTTGATATGAATGATGCGAGCGCAGTGCTTTGCAAATAATTCGGCTGATTTATCTCCTAACAGATGGATCCGGAGTACCCAATACAGTGTTCAAAGGAAACCAGAGGGACTATAGTAAGAAAGAATGTGTGCTCATTATTGATCGAGTAACAGGAGAAATCACACTTGAAAAGCTCAACAGTAATGTACAGGTCAAAAAGACCAGGTAAGTGACTTGACTAGCATCCTACTCTGCCGTTGTTTGAATATGTATAACCATGTTAAAGGGAAGTTTCATATAGAATATACTTAAATTGACCAGTCACGCGTATAGTGGATTTTACCCCTGTCTTGTGTGTAAATAATGCTTACAATTAAGGATTACATCCTACAACTTTACTGAGCGGTTGGATCTAAAAAAGGTCTTGAGTAACCGAAGTGGTTCGAATTAATCTGGTGCTGGATCAGAATTTTGTCGACTGCTTCTAGTTCTTTATTGACCTCAGGGTATACTTCTGCTGCGATAATTACTAGCTGGGTGACCCACCAGTACTTCAGTTCGACTATCGGAAATACGTAGACGATGACGATAATAACACAATATCGTTATCGCAGATATTGCTGATTGTATCTGAAACTGGACTGTTCCAAAAATGCAAAAAAAAGTGCATGTTTCTGTCAAATAGTGTTGGTGTCTTGGGAGCACTTATTGCTTGCATCATAAGGAATAAGTGCACCGAAGTCACCAAGACGATTAGACGGAAACTCGAACTTTTAATCAGTGAAAACGCACTTTTTTCTCCAGTTTGTTGTGAAATGGGCAATAATTTATCGATTTGGTAAATGTCCGAACATTCCCAACATCTGGGGTTCAACAAAAAGTGTCAAGAACCCAATGAACTTGGCCACTGCCTCCCCTTGGACATGGAGGTTGATGTTATGTAAAGGGTTATGTTTAGTCTCTTAATACATGTTTGCAACAATCATAATATTCTTTAATGGATCTTACGAGATAAACTACCCAAAGAGCTAAAAATTAGTGGAACATATCTCCTTCATAATGCTTCAGTAAGCCTCAAACGATTAATTCTTGGTTGTTTATTTAATAGAACTTTCTTGAGATTTTCTTGCAGACTGAGCAATTATGATCGTTGTATCAGATTTGTATCGTAAGCAGAGGAATTCGGTGGGCTTATTAGAAACTTCTCACCAACAAAGTAATAATTTTCTAGTAGGTAGTTAGCATTGAATTTCGATTTTATTTATATTATTTATGTTACAGTGCATTAGTATGTGATACAAGAGATTCAATATTAGGTTGGTTTTCTTTATTCAAAAGACTTTCAGCCGTAGGCTGGTTCATCTCTGGTTTATATTAGTTGCTCGTTTTTACGTAAAATAGTCTGTCATTCTACGTTTTCATTGATTGACTTTCAGTTGATTTTCAATTTCATTTGTGCCTTTTGTACGTTTTAAGCTTTTAGTAATATGATAGATTTTCCAGATTGGTTAGAAGTTTCGAAGCTAAGGCATGTCCGCATACTCAATAAAACGATAGGTAGAAAAAGAATGGGTGCTGCAGATACACTTGCAAGAATATAATTCGGATACATTTGTACTCACATTTTGCCTGTAGTCAATATTATATTTTTTTTCTGTATTTATCATGGTTTTATAACACTAGCCTGAATGACAATAGCCCGAACATAATAAATATTTATTTCAATAATGAGCAGTTCTTTATCCCCGACTTAAGAAAACTTATGAAAATCAGAACTCGAATGTTAATTGTACCTTAATATCATAATTTAATAATTCTAAGAGCAGCTCTTTCGGGTTGTGCCATGCCGCGAATAAAGTTTGCATTTGAAAATTTGATATTCCAAGAATGTGATAGTGCTAGGATTTGAATGATTGATGGGAAAACTAGGGTTGTTACAACCGACGTGGATTTGTCGCGGATTTGAGCTTTAAGTCGCTAAAATTGTGGAGGGACTGTTCTGCCCTTTCCAGCATACCGTATGCGTGATAATGTTTGCACCATCGTACACATAAGGTTCCCGTTTCACCTGTGCATACAATGCCTTGGTTTTCTTTGCATGCACGTAACCTATAGTTCAAGGTCTGTTCTAAACGCCACCCGAGTACAGCAAGCCTCAGACAAACATTGACCCGTATCTGGAGAGAAATGGATCCAGACTACATTATTAGAATCTGCCGTGCATTCCGGAAGCATGTGGAGGCCGTAATTGCAGCAAGTGGAAACTCGATCGATGATTAACATAGTTTAACTCTGAGAAACATACCCCCTTTGAATAAATAAAAAAAAACTACAAGGGACAGCCTTTGGGGTTGTGCGTAATGGTGACGTAGGACTACGTGGTCCTATATAATAAATTTTATTCGTTAACTGTAACTTGTGTTTTGTGTAAGAATAGGAATTTGAGCGTTTATACTCTTTAGTATGACGTGCATGACCCACAGTGACTCACGAAGCGCTACTGATTCCGATCAATAGCGGTGCGGCTTCTTCCTCCTATGGATGCTCATGTGGGCTGCAGCTCGCTGCTTGCAGGCAGCCTTTCTGTTGAAAATCGATTTCAACGGGAAGTTTCCAAAATTATGATTCTCACTACTTAGGCCGGAAACGAATAAAACGCACGATCCGATTGGTGTTACTTGATGTGAGAATATAATTTTCCTAGCAAATAACAATAATTTCAGATGTAATTAGTAATTATGTATATATATATATCTAAGTTTGCTAAATATTGGCAATAAATCGTTATAGATTTCAGTGTACTTCATGTGTAGAATGTAAATTTGGTTCATATCTGTAGTTTATATATATGGATGTATGTTTGTATAACATTGTTGATCGTTCTCAACTATTTTTGTTCGGCCTAGATGTAAGTTTAGATAAGAAGTACTCACGTTTAGTTCCCCTTGGAGTATTCCAGGATTTAGGTTTAGCCTAGCACGTAAGTTTTAGCTGTAAGTCCTAGGTAAGTTGCATTAGATTAAGTATTTGTAAGCTTCCATTAGCAATTGATCATTCTCACCGATTCTGTTGTCTGGTGAGACAGTTAATTAGCTGCGATTCAATTGCACAGAGTTGTGGATTACCTATTTACACGCAAAATATTCTTAATTTACAGTAATCTTAATGCAAAAAGAACTTACAAGTTTCTTCGGTGAGTAACACTAGATTTAGGTATTTAAACTATATTAGAATTTTAATTAAATAGCACTGAACTAATTAGGGATAGAATGGCTGTCGATTGTCCGGGTTTTATGTGTTTTCCTACTCACCCGGTGTGACAGATTGATACCTGTCACTCCGCTTGTCATTTCGCTGCTGAACCCGCTGCAGGGATGTGCTGATCCACGTAGGCACCAACGGTAGGTGCGCTGAGGCCAGTGTGGCCAACACTCCCCCCAGGGTACGACAACCCCTGGTTGGCTTACTCTCCGTCGCACCGGACGTCTAAAACAGCAAGCTTCGTCGCCGGGCGGTCGTAGATACCACTCACTGTTCTTACGGTTGCGGACCGAACCTGGTCGTCCTGGCTGACTTTAATGCCGATGACTTTCCCCTTCGGCCAACAGTTGCGGGGCATGTTGGAATCGGCGATGACCACTATATCGCCCACGGCAATCGGCTTTACCCGACGAAACCACTTGGTACGGCGGGTAATCTCTGGCAGGTAGTCCGATACCCAACGCTTCCAGTATTGGTTTGCAAGTATCTGCGATGTGCACCAGTTCTGCCTTAGGATCGCACCGGTATCATCAAAGTTAACAAGCGGTTTTGACCCGTTGGACGAGCCAAGCAGAAAGTGGTTCGGTGTCAGTGCTGGTGCCGAATCCTCGTCTATCGGCACGTGCGTTAGCGGTCGCGAGTTCACGGTGTTCTCCACTTCGATCAACAAGTTGCGGAGTACTTCGTCGGACGGCCTCTTCGACGAACATACAACCATCAAGTTGTTCTTGACGGTGCGAATCAATCGCTCCCAACTGCCACCCATATGTGGCGACAGAGGTGGGTTGAACACCCATTCAATTCCGGAGCTCGTGAACTCTCTCATCAGTTCGTGTTGGTGGACTGCTTCGTTGGCTTGCTTCAATTCCCGATTTGCACCGATGAAGTTCGTGCCACGGTCACTGTAAATCTTCTGAGGAGTACCACGCCGTGCAATGAAGTTGTGGATCGCCATGATGCAGGAGCTTGTGCAAAGCGAGTGCACGACTTCTATGTGGATTGCTCGCACGGTCAGGCAGGTGGCTAACATTCCCCACCGCTTCTCGACTCTCCTTCCGACGACGACTTCAATCGGCCCAAAGTAGTCCACTCCCACATGTGTAAATGGTCGCGAGAAAGCAGCGAGGCGGGCTGGCGGAAGATCTGCCATGTAAGGTGGGCTGGGTGCTGCGTGCTGGTTCTTACACCACTGGCAAGTTTTCCTCACTCGCTCGTAACAGGTGCGTAAATGAGGGATGCGAAATTTCTGCCGTATTTCGTTGATAACGGTCTCGTGGTTCTGATGGTGGTATTTGAGGTGGTAGTATGCTACGATCAGGGTGGTGGTGTGGTGATTTCGATGGAGAATAATTGGGTGCTTCGCGTCATCAGTAGCATATTGACAAGCAGCGATACGAGTTCGCATACGCATGATTCCATGGTCGTCCAACCATGGTGTTAACGGGTAGAGTGAGCTGGTTTTCGGGATAGTACTTGTGCAGGAGTCAGGGCATCGCGATGCCTTCTGAAGAACAGCAATTTCGTCAGGATATGTTTCCCGTTGCGCGAGCCGTATCAGCAAACACTCGGCGGAAAGCAGGTCGTTTGCTGTGAGTGTTCCCGTGAGAATCGGTCTCCTGGCGTGCTTCAGGCGACAATTACTCGCAAAACGATGAACGAGTGCTGCAACCTTGACGAGCCTCTTCCAGCTTGAGTAGTTGCTGACACTTATGACGGGTTCCAATAGTTCGTGATGAGCCAGGAAGGAAGGGCGAAGTTCGTTCTCTGTAGAACCACTAAGTGTTGGCGATGGAGGCCAATCTTCTTCAGCGCGCCAGAGAAAGTCTGCTCCTTTGTACCATCTATGATTAGATGACATATCTGGTAGCCTACTCCACTTGGTAGCGTCATCGGCGCAGTTCAGCTTGCTCGGGACCCACCGCCATTCATGTGTTTCCGAAATCTCTACAATCTCACTGATCCTG